AGCTAGAGAGGGAACACAAGCAGGGGGAGCAGGAGAGGGAGAAGCAGGTTCCTGGCTGAGCAGGGAGCCCAATGTGGGGCTCGATCCCAGGACCCTGGGATCATGACCTGAGCCGAAGGCAGATGCCCAACTGACTGAGCCACCCAGGCACCCCTTCTTCTCCCTTTTTATTCAGTTTTAAAATGCTAACAATGGCCATTACCCAGACATATCTAACCAAGCCTCGCAGTTGTTTTACACTCCAATCAGACTTCCCTTTCTCCTTTTGTTTCCCCACTTGCACCAGCTAGTACCAGAGGCACTATGGTCAGAGTTTCTGTGTGGCGGTTGCTCAGGGGAGGGTGAAAAGGTGAAAAAAGCTGGGTTGTCATTGCTAGTGACAGACTGGAGAAATGCATTCTTGTTGTTGTATGTTGGAGACCAGAATACATTTTCTCATAGAAACAATATGATAAATGATTTTGAATGTAGATATAAAAGTATATTTAGCATAGTTATTCATGTACATATGAATTAAATGAGCTCTGTGACTTTGCTTATGAATCTAACCAATCATTAACTGAATTCCAGCAAAGATATTTTAAACTGAGCTTTTGGACTATAATCATGTTTAGTATGCCTTGTGTAGTTCATTTTAAATGTATTTATGTCTTATTCTTATATTATAAACTACTTGGCAGTATAGGCCATCTCTTCTACTTCTTTATGCTTCCCTACATCTTCTAGCTTAAGGATTATGACTGGTTGACCAGTGGATTATTACAAAGATGGCAGCCAGTAGACCATGGAATACGTTTGGAATTCTTTTATTTTCCCTGATTTACCCCCATTTCCTTGGCACTAATTGTCCAAAGAAAAAGACTCACAAATGCCAAAAGAAATGGGGCTTTGAATAATCCACTGATTTGCTTACTTTTAATGATGGCTGATTTGTCAGTTATAACTCAGCCACTCAGTTAAAGTCTAGGTCACCAATAGAAATAAAGTATACATGTACCAAAAGCAAACATGGAATGTATGAACACATGACCATTTGGCTATGTGTATGCATGTGTGTCTTAGATTCTAACTTTGTTGGGTATCTAGTGTTATTCTAGAGGTATCTGTTTGTATGTTCTATTGCTTTTGCTGGCCTCTTTCTATTTAATTTTTAGAGAAAAATATATAGGGGGATGTCAAAATAGAACAAATAATCCATACATTGCAAAAACTATAGGAACTAACATGATTCAATTTAGAAATAGGTACAGTTCACAGAATGCCACAGTTCAGGGAGCAAAAATTGATATGTGTTGAAATTGAAAATGATTCTTTTATGAAGAAGCTGACCAAAATTTCCAGCAGGACTGTTGCCTGAAGGAAAATTTCCTAGGCTCCAGCCTCTGTTATGCTTAACAATGAACCATACAAGTCTGGACAGATGGTTGGATTCCAAAGTGTTTCTCATGTTACAGTATTTTCTTCCTATTGTCTCTCCTGAATTCTACAGGGAAAAGAGAAAATGCTATAACTTTCAAAAAGTATAAAGAATATCTTCAGTACATTTTTGGAAGTCACAAGTACTGAACATTAATTATCTCAAAAATCTTCTTCTTCTTCTTTTTTTTTTTTTTTTTAGAAATACTTTCTTGGTTAAAATCAAATTCATCCCAATAAAATCAAAATTATTCTTGACAGTAGGACTTATCTTTCTACTATCTTTATTGCTAGAAATACAAAATCTAAGATGTATTTATGTCTTGTCCATTCAACTTTGAGCTATGGTGAAGGAGAAACTTGGGACTCATTTTTAAGACATTTCATATCCATCCAATAGCAACACTGCATTTATTCTCTAAACAGCCCCCAAATTTGTCCAATTTTCTATATCTCTATGACTCTGGTCCAAATTGATGATATTTTTTCACCTAGATTGTTGCAATAAATGCCCAACTGATCTACCTGCAATCACCTTCTTCCTCTCTGCCCCCAGTGCACACTACAGCCACAACAGAATGAACTTTTTCCAGATGCAAATCTGGGGTCATGTTCCTCCTGCTACCAGTAGTTTCCTATGACTCTTAGGGTAAACACAAAATTCCTTATCTGCCATACAGAGCCCTGAACAGCCCCTACTTAGCTCTCCAAACTCACCTCATATCAACTTTCTCCTTTTATCCCTAGTTCAACTAATTTGGCCTTCTTTCATTTCCTCTATATTTCTTTCTACATTAGGTCCATTCCTCACCATTTTAACTTCATTAAGCCCTGTTCTTCTTACAGAGTTTAATTCCAGCATCACATCCTCAGGGAATCCCCCATTCACCCGCTCTCGTTTTACCCAAATTATTAGGTCAAGTCCTGTTGTTTGTCCTCACAGAACCACATAGCTTATCTCTCTTTCACAGCACTTAGACAAAAGGAAGAGATTTATGATCCTGTGCATTAGGCATTGGGGTTACAAGTGAGGGAACAAAAGCAGAGTTATATTTATTTAGTAATCAACCTCTAAGATTCAAGCCAACCTTTCTAAACCACAGAGAAAAGTATACATAAAAATAATATACTTAAGTGTTCTCAAAAGAGCCAGGAATTATTCAGTAAATAAGTATCAGATATTCTTCAGCAACAGACAAGCTGTTGAGTATGTAATTTAAGACCTGGAAAGATATTGGCAATTGTTCCCACTTAACCCCCATAAAATACAGATAAGAAAAATGAGTCTCAAAAGTGAATCTCAGAGGTCTCACAAATAGTTAATGATAGAGAATGAAGTAGAACTAGTCATAAATATCCGTTGAACACTATTATGTGTAACAGTTTTCTTATATCCAAGTCCGCTTTTCTATTACATGCTATTTCTGTTTAAACATTTACAGAAACAGAGCAATTAAAATTTATTTCAGTTGGTTACTTTCTACCTTAAGAGGATGATATGGCACCAATAAAATATTACTATAAGCCTTTAGACAAAGGGGTGATGTGCTATTAAAATTCTATTACAGTACATTTTTATTTCTCTGTGCATGAACTCTTCGTATTTTCTTATTATACCCCTCTTTCTACATGAAGTCCTTAAAAACACCCTAGCAAAGAGAATCCCTTACTTGCTTTTATTTGAAGAAAAGTGAATGTGTCTTATTCACGCATAGCTAATTTCAGGCAATGTTTGTTAACTGTCTTAATCATCAGCTGCATTTCTCAATCTCCATACCAAGCTCCCGTTCTAGCTACATCTCCCTTTTTTCAGGAATGCTGGGAATGGAATGCCATTGCTACATGGCCTCTTGCTCACGCTAGTCCACTAATTAGCTCTCTGACCAGCCCTTATTTCTTACTTCCTTTCGTAGAAAGGCAAGCTAATGGCCAGCTCTTACTACACAACATTGACTTAAAAACACTTGAGCTAAAAAAGGGACATTGAAAACCATTTAGTCCAACAATCCAAACCATGCAGGAATACTTTCTGAAACATATTAAACAGAAGAGCGATTTAATTTATAGATATGCTTAAATGCTTCCAGTAACTAATTCCTCACAATCTCACTTTCATGAATACTCTTTCAAGTAACAAGAATTTTGTATCCAAGTACTCTACTTGTGTTCTTCACCAACAATACACAATTATTTTAAAGAAACAAGCCTGTAACATCCAAAAACTTAGCTTTGGCAGTTTATCTGTGTAAAGAATGTGTGTATGTTTTAAAATCCAAAGCATATGGACTATACCAGTCAGGTTAGAATGAAAAATGAAAAGTGTAGGTTACACAATTAGCTCATCTTTCATTCTGTGTTCCTGTTAAGTCTTAGAATAGAAAAAAAAAAAAAAAAAAAATATTTTCTTGCTATTTAAAATTCAAAACTAGCTTCTCAACGTGAGGCTTTTTTATCCCAACACCTACACAGTAATTCACTGCTTTAATATTTTCAATGATTACCTCATTGCGAGTATAAGCTGGGAGACAAAGGACAGGAGCCATCCATTTATCTGTTGCTTTCCTCCCTTTCAGACTCTCTTGCTTTGGCAATAAAATACTATGTGCCCTATAAGAGTGTCTAAACCAGAGGGCAACTCCACAATCTATCCTGGCAAACTCAGTAAGAGTTTCTTTGTTTCATTCGTTCATTGTAAACAAAACAAAAGGAAGTTCGTTTTGTTTACAATGTACATTCTTTAATAAAGGGAAGACAGACAAAAAGATTTGTTAATCTAGTAACTTTCTGGTATTTATTTCCCAGGCATTTTTGTACTGTCAGTAATTTATTTTGTTCTTGAAATTACCTTGACTGTCATAGATCATTACAGTATATTCATATTTACATATGTAATCTCTCTACTGTACATGTTAAATAGCAATGTAAGTGGATTCATCCATCCATATGATAAATTCATCCATATGATAAATTCATCCATATGATAGATCTAGGAAATTGGGTTTTCTGAGATATCATTTCTCTATTTTATTTGGCAAGGTGCCTGGTTGTGAAGAGCTTTAAATTTGGCATCTGTCATTGCCTATCTTGATCCAAATTATACGATGCTAAATACCATGAAGAATACTTCACAGGGGAAATCAGTAGCAGGTTATGAGAATGGTAAACTTCATATCACCATGTGCTTATAACTGAATATTAGAACTGTTAGCCAGATGCTTCCTGTGGACTTCCAGAGAGACAGAAAAATGTGGTGCCACTGGGATCCAGAGGTACTGATGTGAAGTATGCAGAAGATACATAAATCATAGGGTATGTTCATTTCATTTGGCTTCGTGGGATTCCGCTGACATCACTGCGGGTAACCAAGGTCTGCACCAGGAGCCTCTCCCTTCTGCTCTCTGATGCCTTCGAGGTGCTGCCCATCTAGACCAGGCCCTGCAGTAATTTCACACACTCCCCTAATAAAGTCCTCTGGGGCTGTCATGTATTTTCATGTGTTTGCCCTATTATCCCTCCCTGCTTGAGCCTTACAGATAATTGATGATGCTTCAGTTAATCATCTTTCTCCCGCTTTTGTTCACCAGGTACCTCCGCCTTGAAGGGGCTCTTTTATTGAGAATCGATGTCTTCTTCTGCGTAATTGATCACCATAGACCCAGGGACACTTGACTCATCGTTGAGGAAGAGTGATCATCATGAATAATCAAAAAGCTGTAGCTACACTACTGCAAGAGTGCAAGCAAGTGCTGGACCAGCTCTTGTTGGAGGCGTCAGATGTGTCGAAGGAGGACAAGAGCGAGGACCAGCAGTGCAGAGGTGAGGTCCTGATGGGAGGCACTGGGGGGAGGGAGAAGCCAGCAGGTTCGCTCTCAACTCCCCTGCCTGAACGACATGTTTTCATCTCTGCCCTATTTTTCTTCTCTTGGCAGATGACCACCGAGAGATGAGTGGATTTCTAGGGCATGAATGGGACATGGGCTGCAGGCGGACGGGCAGGGGAGGAAACCCACTTTGTTGCAGTGAATTGCTGTCAGTTCTAATTTTAGGCTTCAGTAAACATGAGGCCACAAGAAAACAGTTTAGTTCAAGAAGAACAAAGGGTGCAAGTCTGCCGGTGCATGTAAATTTCAATTATTAAAAAATTGAAGCAACTTCTGAATAGTGGCACATACTTTTTTTTCAAACGAGGCTTTTGTGCCTCATCGGTTTCCATAGGCTTCTATGGTTTCCATAAGTATGTCATTTCATTGGTCCAATCTCTCTTTTTTTGATTATCGATACATTTCTCATGCTGTATTCACATGCTGTTTGTAAAATAAATCCTCTCACACTGATAAATACTGATTGCAACATTATCAGAATTGAATTGACCTTTTGCTCATTTCATAGTTTATGCCATTCACAGTTTTAGATAGGTCATTGTTTGGGAAGTTTTGATCACAAAGTCTGGAAAGTTGAAGTATTTCTTATCTCCCCCATAGCCAGTTTTGAAGAGAGAACCTTCTTTCCTTAGATTGCTTTATAGCATTTGAATAAATGTTCCTCCATTTCTATAAGTGTGTCCCTTTTATGTGCTTTTAATATTTTTCTTTGTATTTTTAGTGATTTGCTATTCCTTGCAGAAATAAGATGATCACATAAAATGCACACTCCCCATCTCTTTTGTTGTTGATGATTATGTAATGGGGAAAGGTTCTGGAGAAGCCTTTCCCCCCACATTCTTGTATATAGGCACACACATTTTTTACAGAGGCACTTTTAGGTACCTATAAAGGTCTTAAATTTTTCTAATCTGTCATTTATGCACATTTCAAGATAAAATGCCCTATGTCCCATTGTTTCACAACACCTCAGTTTATGTGATTTCCTTATTTACTAACCAGATACACTGCTGTGTGCTTTTGCTTGCTAGTTATATGTGCCCATCAGCCTGAGCACACATTGACAGGTGTTAGCCCCTTGTCAGGGAGCGGCAGGTACTTGGCACCTCCAGAACGTGCTGCAGTTCTCCCCAGGGGCAGTGTGTTGTGTTCTATCTACTGAAGTTTCTCCTCTTGTCCTTTTACTACATGGCATCCTTTGTCTACTCAGCCCAAATTCCTTTAAGCTTTGTGTTCTCCCTCGTGAAAACTCAGAGCGCCCAGTTGGGTAGCATTTTCTTCTTTTTCTTCCCAAGTGCCACAGAATAGGAGAAATAATCAGTTTAGTTCCAGATAAGGCACATCAGGGCCACAAAATCACTCAATTAGCAACGGCTCTTCAGGTAAGCTGCTTGGGGAAGGAAGTGATCAGAGAGGCAGAAGAGGGTGTTGCTCCGTCAGGGGCTGACTGATGGGCTTGGCTGAATCTGGTGAGCCAATGGGGGGAGGAAATCTACGCTGAGCCATTGACAATCTCAGCATTAATCCATCCCCATGGAGGCAAGCTGCAGGGTCCACCCCACGCGCCATCAGTACAACTGAGTTCAGTCTGAGCACGGAGTTCTTCCCTTAGCAGGTGGTTTCTGTGTAATACTGGTGGGCGGGTTGTGCTGTCACCAAAGTTGTTGCTCATGTGTACTCCAAGGGAAAGACATTAGTACAGGGTCACCTATGGTGACAGGACAAGTCAGAGGACTTGAACATGATCACTGTGATTTTATTTTTTCCCTTCCTCCTCTCAATCCTAACCTCTTCACTCAGAAATTGTCCTTGTCAGCATGGGAGACTGCCCTTAGCAACTTCCTCAGAAATAGAGAAGGAACCGAAATCTAAACACAGATACATTTTTAAAATGTATTTCAGAGGCATCACTTATTTCGGTATGCCACACTGGACTCTCCATGCTCTGGCATGATCCACAGGGAGAGGGTGGAATGAGGAAGGCAAAAATGAGTTGTGTAGAACAGATTTTCTCTGTCATCATGAAAAAAATTGAAAATATTTAAACTATTTCGTGCCAATGTATGGTGAAACTCTTTGAATCTAGATATCAGATTCCTGTTGTCATTCGACTATTCATTTGACTCCTGAGCTTGATACTCATGGACAGAATGTCCAAATAATTTGTCAATCAAATGGGACACTTGAGAGCGAGAAGGAGCAATATAAAGAAGTCCACTAGGAACACATAGGACTGTCCTAAGTGAACAAGACTTAATAGTCATCCTATTCCTGACTATTTACAAATATCATTTAAGAAACTTTCTTTAGGGGCACCTGGGTGGCTCATTCGGTTAAGCAGCCGACTCTTGGTTTCAGCTCAGATCGTGATCACAGAGTCATGGGATCAAGCCCTGCATCGGCCTCTGCGCTCAGTGTGGAGTCTGCTTCAGATTCTTTCTCCCTCTCCCTCTGCCCCTTCTCTCTTTCAAATAAATAAATACAATCTTAAAAAAAGAGAGAGAGAAATTTTCTCTACATAAATATATTGGAACACTTTTGACCGTCAGAGGGTCAGAGGGCCAGGCTTCCTAGCAGATTATGACCACGTAGGTCCCTAATGCCAGGGCTCTGCTTCCTTTGGAGGAGTGCTATCGCACAGTCGGTGCTCAGTAGTTCTGGGTTGCTGAATCAGAGAGCAATGATTTCAGTGTGGTATTTATAAATCATCCTCAGTAGTCGGTAAGGATTACTCACTGGTGTGGCCCATTTGATATCTCCTCAGTGCCAAGCAATGTTTCCCCATTAGCAGTCTTCCCTACATTTGCGCAGTTGGTGGCAAGGACACAGAAGGGCATCGTGGACTAGGGCAGAGTTAGGTTTTCTTCCTCCTCTTCTTTTTGTTTTTTACTCTCTCTGTCATATCTCTTTTGTCCTGTTTAGCATGTTTCATGTAGATAGAAGACTAATCCTTCTTTTAACCATCATGGTGTGATTTGCAACAGTGATAAGACATGATGTCTGTCTTCGGGGAGCTCACAGTAAAATGAGAGGAAAGTGTGATGACAGAGCAGTGGGATGAACACTGAAAGGCCATGCATTTTGGGGTTTGGGAGCACTCAGGAGGCACATTTTAATTCCACAGGGTGGTCATGGCAGGCTGATGAGAAGTAGTCATGTTTGCATTGAAGCCAGTGAGCCTGAGCTTGATCATGAAAGGACTGAGGTAGGGCAATGCAAAAGTGAGGACAGGAGATACAAAACCATTAAAGAATTTTATTCAGGGCAATGACCTGGTCTACCTTGTGTTTTAGCAAGATGGGGATCAACAGTGTGGAAGTTGGAGTGGATGGGGCAAGGTAGGAAACAGTGGTTCAGACAAGAGTTACTGATAATGAAAAGGAGGAAATGGATTTTAGGATCTACAGAATTTGATAATCAGTTAGGTTGACGGGGAAGAAAGAGCAAAAAGTCTAGACTGACTTCTAGGTTTTGTACTTGGGTGACTCAGTGAATCGTGGTAGCATGCATCAAAATAAAGAATAGAGAAACAGATTTAGAAAAAAGATGGTGAGTTCAGCTTTAGATACTTTTTTTAAAAGATTTTATTTATTCATTATTCATTTGAGAGAGAGAGAGAGCACATGCAGAGGGGAGAGTCGAGGGAGAGAGAAAAGCAGACACCCCACTGAGCAGGGAGCCCGATGTGGGGTCTGATCCCAGGACCTGGATGGAGATCATGACCTGAGGTCGAAGACAGATGCTTAACCATCTGAGCCACCCAGGCACCCCCAGCTTCAGATACTTTTGAGTATGAAACGTCTGCAAGACAAGCACCTAGAGCTTTATAACTGGCAGTCATGTAATCAAGTCCATCATCCTGAATGCTGGGGCTTCACATGTGCTTCAGCATTCAGAATTTTTCAAATGTTAGGAAGGTAGTATGGTGCAGGGACCATCCATTACATTCATACTCCAGCAGAAGCTGGGGCAGCATCTAGAGTCAAACATTAAAATTTTTGCAACAAAACTTTGGCTAATCTCACTAAATAAGATAAACAAGCGATAAAGTGCCTCTAGTCAATTCAAGTCTGGTTAGGGTGCCAAACTTAAGAAAAAATATTCTAGTTTCCCGAGCTTTTTGGGTTTTCCACGTTTGGATAGGAGATCGTGGACCTCCGTAATTAGGTGTGGTGCCCAGGAAGAGATTGAACGTATCTACTAACATGAAACAGGGCCATTTCACAATAAATTGGTACCATTTCAAATTTCGTTTGGGTTTTTTGTATTAATCACCTATATTCAAATGTAGTCTATAGTGCAAGTATACAATGAAGTGAGGTGAGGTCTTGGAGAACTAAAAAGAGGTTGTACAAATTGACTCTCTGCCTTACCCAGCTACCACAAGTCCCAGATGTCATTCCGTCTCAGTCCCTTTCTCATTTTACAGGGAAAATAATATTTCCTTCATTCCTTTCTCTGATTCTTCATGCAGAGATAGTCACTGAAGTGCTTTACTTCCTGCTAAAAACCTTTCTTAATGCCTGACTACCCCAATTTACCTGAAGGGCAAAGTAGACCAGGGCCACCCCTGACAGATAGCTTTGCGCTATTATTCTTTGAGTCAGAACCACCAGCTTTAGACCGGCCAGTAAGACGTAGGAAAAATGTTTTTTTGCCGCCACTGAGGTGCTTCATCATAACATTGGTAACTCAACAGCCTTTTCTTTGACTGCAATTTCCTTACCTGAACTCTGACCTTTTCAGCTTCACTCCCCAGTGAGTTAAGGACCCTGATCCAGGAGGCAAAGGAAATGAAGTGGCCCTTCGTGCCTGAAAAGTGGCAGTACAAACAAGCCGTGGGCCCAGAGGACAAAACAAACCTGCAGGATGTGATTGGCGCCTGGTTGCAGCAGTTACTGGTAGGGAGAGCCCCACCACCTGTTCCTCTGACACCCCCAAGTAAGGCATTTAGCCTCTAAGTGGTCTAATAGATTAAATTTCTTTGAAGCATAAGACAGCCCCTACCCTTATGGTCAGCTCTGCCAGATTGACTAATGTGGGGGAAATGGCTTTTAGAAAGCATCGCCTGCCTGTAAGACCTTCTGTTGGAAAACCAAGTCAAGTAAAAGTGGAGAAGGGTGGTCAGTGGGTCTAGTGAGAAACCTGTCATCCTGAAATATACATTATATCCTTGGTAGGCCAGAAGCAGTAGTTTTCTTTCTGTCATGTCTCATAACATTTTTATTTTGAAATGCTCCTTTTTTAAAGTTTATTTCATCAGTTTACATGAGAATGTGTTTTTGGGTCATCCCAAAATAAATGTATAGATATTGTCTTTGCCTATCAAAACAAAAATCTGGGAAAGGTTCCCTGATCCACATACATATAATGGCATCTTTGGAGGCTTAATAGAATAACAAAACCCCCACTTTTCCCACACCCCTCCCCCCAAAAATAAACAGACTGGGGTTAAGTAGACCGGGGGCTGCAGGCAAAGGAAAGTGAACACTTGGAAAGAATGCAGTGGTGAGCCAGGGATTTTAAATTAGCAGGCTTGGCATAGGTGGAAAAGTGGAATGGAATAAAAACTATAATTTGTGTATCACTGTAGGATTTTACAAAGCGCTTGCACATGCATCACCTCATTTAATTCTCAAAATGGCCTTCCAGTGATTATTACCATTATCATCCCCATTTTACAGATGAGGAAATTAAGGTGCAGGGAGATGAATGTGCCCAGGGGAACAGACCAGTGAGTGGTAAAGCTACTCTTTCCTCCATCTCACTGCCAATTCGCCCTCAAGAAGCCCCAAGTAAAGAACTCGAAAACACAGGTAAAATCCCTGAGACTTGTTTACCCTAAAGCAAGTTGGAGGTTGTCCAGCAGAGCTTCCTGCAATGTTGGAAATCTTCCATATCTCTGCTGCCCAATACATTAGGCCCTGGCCACCTGTGGCTTTCCAGCACTTGAAATGTGGCAAGTATGATTGAAGAACTGAATTTCTTAGTATTATTAAATTTTTAAAAATCGATTTCTATATAAATAACCACATGTAGATAGGGCTACTATTTTGTTGAACAGGGCAGTTCTTCAGCAGTGATGCTTAAAATGAGACCTCACAGCAGCAGCTCTAGATTACCTGGAAACTTGTGGGATATTCAGATTCTTGGGCCCCACTCTAGTCTTACCAAGTCAAAAACTCTGGGGCTAAAGGTCTAGCAATGAGCATTAGACAAGCCCTCCAGATGATTCTTGTGCATGCTAGAGTTTGAGAACCAGTGTTCTAAAGGAGAGAATAGGATAAAGAGCGAGGGGTATGTCAGAGAGCCTGACCAGGGATGTGAGGGGAGAAGGGGCAAGGTAAGGGGTAAAGGAGACTCCAATGTGAAGGTTGCAGGAGACCAATGATAAAAGCAATCTCCTCCCCATCGATTCCAGGAACTTGTTTAGACTGGGACCAGTTCCTGAAAAGCCAATAGTTGCTTTACCTGCTTGGAAAGCCTTGTGTGATTCGGCCGCCAGTGGTATAGAACTTTCAAGGCTTCCAAGGAAGGTGAGAACAGGATAGCTTCACAGAAGGAGGGACCCCTGCTTTGACCTTTGGGGCTCAGAAAGTTCCTCTGAATTTCAAACATAGGCTGAGAGAGGGAGACACAGCACATCACCATAACCAGGGTTTTACTCCTCTGGGTCCATCCCACAACCACCAGATCCCCCTCCCTGCATGCAAAGCTGATAGTGACTTTGCTGAAAAACTGAAGAAGGTATTTTGAAAATTTGGTCTTGCTGCATTTGGGGGTTAATGTGAGTTGGGAGACAAGCTGCTCATAGTTGTTAGACTGTTTTAAGAGTCCATTTATTATTCCTTCTACTTTCCCTCTCTATACTGCAGGGATGTCACAGTTGGGGGAAATAGACATTGGGAATTTAAGATGTTTATGTCCAGCTCACAAGATCACTGGTGGCAGCTCTAAGAATCAGTCCATTAGGCTTCTTCAGCCCCTGATGTATTTAACCTGGGAGCTTTTTGAACTCTGAGCATCATTTTCTTTAGCTTCCCCAGCAAGCTATAAATTAAGTAACCACACCCCCCGAAGACTGTTAGGATGCTTTCCTATTGTGTCAGACCCCAAGTGCACAATTACTAAACCACTCTGTTTTGTAAATACAGAGAACTATAGCACTCTGTGAACTCACGAGACTTTTGATATCTTAGCTTGTCGAAAGTTTCTCAAGTGAATTCCATGATTTGTTGTTGTTCCATTATCCATTGATTTCAATATATGCTCTACTGAAGCTGGATGACTAGGTTTTAATAATCAATTAATTATGAGCTCTGTTCTTGCATAAAAAATTAGTCAAAGCCTGCTGACCTTGTCTTTTCAGACAACTTATCTCTTCTTCCAATTTTTTCACAAACCTAAACTTACCATGGTTTTCTTTGCCTTGAAAGGAATCCTTCCCATAAAAACTTTCCCCTCTATTTTTAAAATTTGCATTACACTTAGAGTGTAAACCCTGTTAAGTTTAATTTAATTAAATTTAATTCCAGAAATAACAGATCAAAGTTAACATAGAATTCTGCTGAGTGCCTGAGTTGGTGAAATTAAGAGTCATTTATAATGTTACTCTCTTGGGCTGAACTTAATCAAGAAAAATTATATGTGTTTTATGCTTTGCTTTCTGTTCTCCACAGCCTCCCCCATTTCCTCCCTCCCTGTGCGCCCCCCTCCTACTCCCCCATCCCCAATCTTTTCTCCTTTGGTGTGTGGCCACAGACAGAAATTTATGGCAGGGGCCAACCTCCTTTACACTCCACACAAAGCTTGCTGACTTGAGAGAGTTTGTTCGCTCTCTCCCAGAAAAAACACCTGCAGTACGCTCCCCAAGAAATCTGGAGAGATGGGAGATTAATGTGGCTGTAATAGCTAGGCTGTGTTTTTGGTATTATGCCCTCTCCCCAGGTAGATGGGTCTTTTCCGAGATGATACCAATTATTTATTGCTGAAACATCTGTTGATAACTGCAGCTGCCCTGTGAAACAAAGCATATCATGGGGTCACAGGCTATAGGGACCTAAAATCCTACCTCATGCTAGTTTGAGACTATTCAGTAACACCCTCAAGTCCATGGGTTACCATCATCTTTAATGTCTCATCATGCCCTAGAAAATACTTTGTAAACACTGCACTGCCCTGCCCTACAGGCTTTGAAGTATTATTTCATCTTCATTGGTAATTTATATTCCAGTGCCATTGTGCTGTGGGAAAAAGAGGGGGAACCTTTTTGTTTTCCATTTAATTGTATATCTCCTGACACTTTGACCTGTATTATTAGTGTTAGTCAGAAAAAGGATTTTCTCCCTCTCTTATTTAAAAATAAAATTTCAAGGGAAAGTAAGCGCTCCTTCAGCTCTTTTCACTAAAAACAATGTTTACACTCTAAGACGGAAAGATGAAAAGCACAAGCGATTTTTTTCGAGTGTCGGAGAAGGGCATTTCAGTTTTTGAAAGAGAACAGTAAGGCCGTTATAAATATCATGCAGCAAAACCTTTGATGGATTTTTTTTTTTCCAAAAAGTATTGAAGGCATTTACCGTTAGCCTCTGTTTCACTTGCTTTTAGGCGGGCACAGTAGAGTTCTTACTAGTAAATCTATCCTTGCTTCTGAGATGCTAGGGAATGATGACACCAGCCTCAGGGTAGATGCCACCTTTTGTAATTTTTCCAGTAACTTTTATGCTTCTAAAAAGGATAATTTCTGCACAAAGAAAATATGAAAATAAAACTTTTAAAAAGGAGATAAAGGACATGTTTGGATTTGCATGTCTGTGACAGTTGAGAGCAAGCTGGGTTGCCAGGCTAAGAAAAATTGTTGGATAGGCCCTGGTTTTGAGCATTCCCTGCAGATTTGGGGGTCCTGATCTTGGGGAGGAACTGGCCTCTCCTCAGTGGAGGGAGGGATCCTAAATTTAGTGTGGTGCCTCTGTAAAGAGATATACGGTAATTTTTAGAGGTTGGCTAACGTCAAGTCAAAGGAGATGAAACAGTCTCAGAATGAGGATATTTTTTCCATTTTCTTTTCAACTGTATAACCATGAAAATGGTTAATCTGATAAGCTTTATTCCACAAGTATTTTTGGAAATATCTGTGCTACTTTGCAGTAATTTGAAGAAAGACCAAAAAAAAAAAAAAAAGATTAGTTGTTTTCATATGCTATCTTGGGTAAAAAACCTCTGTGGATGAATAAAGTTTGATATATTTAGCTTCCAGAATATTTTTCTAATATGTCTCTTCAGATAATCTTGGTGCCTTTAACTTGTTGATATTTTTATTTTTAAACTACTTAAATATTAAGGAATCAAAAATTAAAACACAAATAAGCATGAATAAATATAAGAGTTGGTCATTACAATATTGTGGGGAGATGTTTTAAAAATGTCTAGTGTGATTAACCTAAGAGCAGAGAGGGGCAAAAGAGTCTTTACCAAAAGCTAAGTATAAATTTATTAGGAAATGAAAAGTCAAGTTGAAGAAAGATACATGATGTGAGGATTGGGTAAGGTGAGAGTCTATCCCTGGGAGCAATAAAATTCCCCTCCATGAATAAGTTCTGGATTAAAGAGGTTCTTAAAACTAATTTAAGACACATTTATTTCAGGTACCAGTTTTCATATTAAAAATAGAGAATTCAAAAGCATTAATAGGTGATTTTTAGATTATGACTCTTTCAGCAAGTGATTTTTTCCAAACGAAATTTTCGTCTTAAACTATGTGCTTTGGGGTTTTAATAGCTGAGATCTTCTTCATCAGGATGTAAAAAACAAAATGAATGCAAGCGCAAATTCATTCATTTATTCAGGAAAACTTTATTGAGTATTAACGTGTGCCAGACATTTGATATATATAGAACACAGAGAGATGCAAAAGAAATAGAAGACCTAGTTCATGTACTGGAAAA